GGCCCCGCGCAACTGCAGGCCACGTACGCGCACGGGCCCGACACACTCGCAACTTACGGCCCGCCATAAAGTGCGAGGAACTTGGAGGAGAGGAGCCCGCTGCCCACTGCTCAGCTCAGTCCCAGACTCCGGAACGGTTGCAAACCTGCCTCCTCGGTGTTGGCATAAATTACAAAACGATAAATGTGCGAACCAAATGGACCCGACGGCCCGGGAGCATAAAGAGTTCTAGAAAACAGGATCGTGTCAAGCCGATGCTCTGCCAAGAATTTAAAAAAGCCAGTTTTTACCTTAGTTCTTATACTTCATCAAAAAAAGTTAAAAAAGAAATCAACTGAGAAGTTGAATAGCTTTTTTCAGGGCACATCATTTTTTCAGGCACCTGAAGATGTAGCATTTTTAATAATTTATGCACTTTGTGCTATGCCGCTTGGCAAAAACCGCGAACAGGCCTACAACACACATGTTTTGGGTGCGAACAAAATTTATCCTACAAGAGCAAATTATCGGAAGTTGAAGTTTGTAATGGTGTTTCCCTTTCAGGATGATCTAAGCTACCCCTCTCCTTACGATGTCTCACTTTGTCCTCCATTCATTTTTCTCCATCACATTTCAACTCCCGGGCCGCCGCAGACGATTACAGGGCCCCTTCGCGGCGCAACGGACACGTTTAAAAGCTCCCGCCTAATTAGCCGAGCGAGTGCGTTCCAATAGGCGGCGGGCGCGCGCGCGCGCGGGCCGGCCGGCCGCGGCGGTCAGACTTGGTCACATTCCGAGTAAGATTTCATTCTCGCGCCGCCTTGGGCCGAGCGGGCCGAGCGGGCACGAGGGTAATAATAATGAGACAGCGGCACGAAAAGTAATGAAGCAACTTACTACGCGGCCAACAGAGGAAACGTAAGCCGGGGAAGGCGTGATGGAGGCGCCGCATCTGCGCTGCTCTGTGACGGATGGATGGGGCGGGCGGCGGCGGCAAACCGCTCCAAACTCGCGCGCGATATGAACTACTACTGCCGAGACTACCGCTGCTCATTTTCTTCTTGTTTCGGGCAGCAGCTCTGGGACGTGGCGTGGCGTGGCGGGCCGCCCTACACTGCTGCTTCATTACTCAATATCGCCCGGGAGGTCCCCGCAGGGGGGCGGGGCGGGGCGGCCCTCCCCCTTTCCTATACCGCCCTGCTGCTCCCCTTTCTCGGAACGGATCATTGTTTTTACAGCCCAGAGCCTTTTGCTCTGCTCCGGGGGCTCCCATAAGGCAAAAGCCAAAAAGGTGAGGTGGTGGCCGGAGGAGCAAAAGGCAGCAGGAGTGTTAAAGGGCGAATCAGCAGAGCGGGACGTCATATATCAAGCCAGAGAAAACAAAATTCAGCACGGCCGGCTGGGGGTCCCTGGGCTGGGCGTGGTGTCGGTAGAGCGCTGGCTGGCGTGAGGCTGTTCCGAGGGTTCGACTCAGATTTTGGGGGACACAGGAGTACTGATTACGTGGACCGTTTGATGCATGCATATGGAGTCCTGGGCTGCGACGGGGTGCTCAAGGTAGATGGGGTGGTTGAGCACGACGGGGTGCTTAAGGTGGATGGGGTGGTTGAGTACGACGGAGTGCTAAGGTGGATGCGGTGGTTGGTTGAGTAGGACGGGGTGCTTAAGGTGGATGGGGTGGTTGAGTACAACGGGGTGCTCAAGGCGGATGGGGTAGTTATTGAGTACGACGGGCTGCTCAAGGTGGATGGGCTGGTTGAGCACGACGGGGTGCTCAAGGTGGATGGGCTGGTTGAGTACGACGGGGTGCTTAAGGTGGATGGGGTGGTTGAGCACGACGGGGTGCTTAAGGTGGATGGGGTGGTTGAGTACGACGGAGTGCTAAAGGTGGATGGGCTGGTTGAGTACGACGGGGTGCCCGATGTGGACGCGCGCGCCCCGTGCGCGTCAATCCAAAGAAAGGAATTAATTGAAACAGATTGGAATTCCGAAACCGATACCTCACGCGCGCGCCGCGGCCTCGTCGGCGAGTTTAAAGAGAACGCAACGAGAATGAAGAGTTGAAATAGGAGAGGGGAGGAGGACCTGGGCGGGGAGACGAAAGGAGGCGGAGGAGAAAGAGAGAGAGAGAGGGAAGAAGGGCGGTGCTGGGCGGGCCGAGGAGTCGGAGGAGTGGGAGAGAGAAGGAATGCGCCCTGCTCCGCCAGACAAGCTGGAGCCAGCTCGCCCGAGAGAGGCCGAGAGAAGCGAGTATAGTGCGCGCTCGTATGGGTGCGAGAGAGGGCGACTGTGGGTGCGTGTGTGTATGTGTGTGTGTGTATCGCGCGTCGTGATCTTACAAGAAATGAATAAAAGAGCGGTGTATAATTTATCGAATCGCCCCTACCCCGCCTTGGGGCCGCCTCCCCGCCCCCGCCCCCAGCGGTGGCGGCGCGGCGGCGGCAGCTTTGCGGCTGTCAGAGAGGTGTTTGGGGGGCGTGGCACCGGGGCCCCGGGGCGGCTCGGCTCGGCTGCTCGCCACCCATTCATCGCGGTGCACAGTCCCGGCCGCGCAGCCTGACCCGGCCGCGCCCCGGCCCGCGCCGGGCTCGGCGTGCCCAGCGTGCGCGCCGCCGACTGTTGGGGGCGGCCGGGGCCCTGGCCGGGTCGGGCCGCGCCGGGCGGTCCAGGCGGACACCTGTTGGCGCAGAGGGGTGTTTTGCACAGGCCGGCCGGCCGCAGCGAGGCCGCCGTCAGGCCGCCGGCATGGGAACCTTTGGAATGCCGCCGAATGTGCATCTATGATGATGCACAGCTCCGCCGCACAGCGCATTCCTGCGAGCTGCAGGGCCTGCGGCGCCGACCGAGCGTCGTGCTACCTGGATAGCCAGGATCAGGACCATCACGTCCAGGATCAGGGCAGGTCCAGGACCTCGATCACACCGTTTGGTACACGAAACGACTCACGCGACTCTACTCTCCTCACCAAACCTACTTACACCCCCGCGCTTGTCCAAATAACAATCAAATTAAATTTCGCCGTTGCGCCCGTGTGTGGGAGCCCACGTCTCGCCTCCGCACCGCCGGTCAATCGGTCGGCGTCGATCAATTTATTACGGGTGCCTTATCGATGGGCTGCTCCTCCCTCCCTC